TTGACAGAGTATACAATTAAGTATTCCATATATGTTTTATTAACTGAAAATGCCCCATAAGTTAAGCAAAGACTTTCTGAAGACGACAAATTTTAACGAAATTGGCATTAATAGATTTTCAGTATACACAATATAACAAGATTCAGCATTTTTTCACTTTTCAAAGCTTCTAAGTATATATACTTTTGAATTGAAAAAATATTTCGGAGCTATATTTTTTTTCGGAAATATTAGGCTTTACAAGCATCTGAGATATAAAAATTTTATACTTAACGGTTATGGCATTTTTAATGAAAACCGATTTTTTACGTGGAATTCACATGGAAAATTTTAAATGCTCTCCAATAGATTTTAAAATTAAACTAAAAATTCTGGTATTTCGTACGAGATATTTAAAATTCAATAGTCATCCATTTGCGTTTAGCCTTAAATCGATATACTTGTAATAACTAACTAATATATAATAGGACTATAACTAATAGCCAGTGAGTAAAGTCCTGCATTTAATAAATAATTTTCCATAATCAATATTTGAAAATAGGCAATTTTTAGTTATCATACTATAAAAAGTTTGAAGTCAGTAATATGTAAGTAATAATCACTAGTCAGTAGTCGATAGTCAATAGTTGTGGATTAAAAGTCAGCACACAATTATTAACAAGCAATAGTTACTATTTAGTCAAGCAAGCAAAAATTACTATAAACCACTGTTCAATGCTCAGAGTATTTAGTTAATATTTAAAAGTCATTATTCAAAATTTAATCAAGGATATATAATCATTAGTCATTATCTACATAGTAATAAATAGCAATCGATAAGTACAAATTGATAGTAAAAAGTCATAGTCTTAAAGCGGATTAATGTAATTTATTAAAAATTTGACATTTGCAGTTAATAAGTCATCGATTAATCGCTAGGAGTTCGTACCGTTAACTAGCAGTCAGTAGCTCATAAGCACTATGGTCTGTTATAGTTTCAGGATATCGAGTTTGACAGTTAAACTATAATTGTTAACTGTTAATAGGCATTCAGAATTCAATAGCAATTAATATGATTTACAGTTAGTATTAATAGTTATAAGGTTTTAGTGGAAGATCCTCAATCAAAAAAACTCAGTTTATAGTGAATATTTAAAGTGTTTCGTAGTCTATAATATTGTGATACAAAATTAAAGTCCATGTGTACATATTTCATAAAACCAATAAACAACAAAAGAAATATTCAATTTTATAAAATAATACCAAGAAGATTTTTAGTCTATAAATTTCAGTTCTCTTTACACATATATAAAGTTTGTGACTCCATATATAGAAAAATTTTGTATAATTCAATCAAACAACGAAATTATTATGGAAGGTTGTGATGACTTTTATTGTTTTTTTTTATCGAAATTCTTTTTGGTTACATATGCTTAAATAAAACTAACGTTAGATGGCTTTGTTGTAAGCCTTTTGCTATTTGCAATCATTTTTCATCAAAAAGCAGCATTTTTACTGTTTAAGAGGCATTATAATATATTTTACATGTTTTTTGCATAATGTATACAATAAAATCTTAGCCAATCAGTGAAATTTGATATACTTTTCAATTTGAGGATTATTTATATACTCTAGAGTGTCCGTTATTTTCCATGTTGATTTTTTTTTTTTGCAAACGCCACTTGAAGTCTCAGTTTCTGTCCTAACAGAAGATCCGATGTAAACAAGCTCTTTATTTTACAATTTTTATTTTAAAATAAAGTAAACCTACAACCTTGATAGTATGATATTTGAGTACAAAATTTTCCACTCTACAAAAAAGGTGTTAATGATTTTTTTCATAAAACCGCTCCTTTAAAAGTTATCCGCAGTTACAGTAATTCAGTAGCTGAGCATGCATATAGTACACCATGTCGTATGAGCAACATAGAAGTTATAGGGCACTTGTGGGTATGCTCAGTGCATTTGATGCATAAGTTTACCTGCGTATAACTTTTAAAATAATGATTTAAAAAAAAAACTATCAAGACCTTTTTTGTTAAGCAGAAAATTTTGTATTCGAATATTCTCTCCCCAAAGTTATAGGCTTATTCGCTTTTGAAATAAAAAATGTATTGCAAAATATCAGAAAATCAAGCAAATATATACAAAATATATGGGAAACATAAACTGATTTAGACGCAGTTTGAATATAAAATGAAGAGCTTGTTTTCAAAATAAAAACTGAAACTTCAGCGGACATTTATTAATAGATATCCCAATATGCCCCTTCGCGTTTATGTTTTAAAATCAAAACTTCAAAAGAAAAGAGTTGAGCGCAGTTGATAATCATCTAAAATATTATATTTCATAAGGATTACTAATTGCCAAATTTAAGAATGCAAAAATTACTAATTTTCGTAAATTAATTTATTAACATTTTTAACCTTATTCAAGATATTAGGTAGATAACTACAGCAATAATAATATATTTTTAGCATTACACACAATTAATCTTCAATTTTTACAAATATATCAAATAAAATTAAAATTGAATTAGCTAAAAACAGTACGCCTGCATAAAGGCATGTCACTATTATGCGCGAACTTGCTGTTGCTATTTATCTAACACCCAACTTGCATTGTTTATGATGTGTTTATGAAACATTTAAGCCAATAGCATTAATAAAGCCACCACATAATCAATATCCACCATTCAGAGTACACCAAGCGCACACGGCGCTGCCTCCACGAAAAACTAATTAATAATTTCCAAATGAGCTATTAATTAAGCCTAATTACACGGCGCGTATTGTGTGAGTGGGCTTTGAAAAATCAAAAGAGCTGTTCAAAAGGGCTACAAGGCGCGATTTACGGTTAAACGCCCGCATGTAGGCTAACAATTCGCGCAATTTTAGTTTGCGTTATGCGCTCGCTCGAACTACTAGCGGTGTGATGGTAGTTTTTAGATGCTTTCTCCAATACCAATAATAAATCAATAGCGCCCGAGTAAACTCCTAGCAACGCTTTCGATATTTTTGTTGTTATTGTGAGCGATTTTGCAGCGACTAGCCATAAGTAAATATTATAAAACTGACAAACACATGTGAACACATAAATGTAGAACATGTGAGCTTATTGCATAAGCACTGTTGCGAATGCCCTGAGTGACGACAACTCATTACACACACATTGCCGGTGGCCAACAGTAGTCCGATCCAATCCAATCCAAACCAATCAGCAGCCTGCCCGCATAATAGCCTCATTCATTTACACGCACTCCGCCATGTTGACGTAATTAGCGCGACGCGGCCGCGTTGATTTTACACAAATGTGTCTATAAACATGCTCGCAGATAACGGTTAGATACGGCATACAACAACGATGCACCGTTAGTTGGCGTATCGTGCCACCATGCCACCATATGTGGCATAGCCGTCAAATAGTTGCAGACACTGAGCAGACATGTGGTGTGATCGTTTGCGGGTGGTCCATATTTTATTCCTTTTGCTATAACCGGGCATGTGTAGTGCGTTGCACTAGGGTGGCAATTAAAAACTTAAGTAAACAATTAATTATCAGCCTCGCCAATTTGTGTGTGAGGCCATAAAGTTCTTCACTAACTCGTGAATACGTAGCAGTTGATTCGTAAAAAAATACATACATATAACTAAAACAAGGAAAACCGATAACTTTGGTTGCACCGATAATACCCTTCTGAACTACCAAAGATTCTATACAAGAACTTGCTTTTAATCGTTCAGTTGGTATGGCAGCTGTATATATGCTATAGTGATCCGATCTGCACAATTTGTTTGAACATTGTACCGCTGCTTTAGTTAATAATTTGAACCAAATTTCGTGAAGATATCTCGTCAAATAATTTTCTCGTTTGCGAAAAAACTGAGGGACAAACGGACACGTCTAAATCGACTTCGCTTGTCACGCTGATCATTTATAGTTATAGTGTTTTATAGTCTCCGACGTTTCCTTCTGTATATTTGAAACTTCGTGGCAAACTTAATATACCCTGTTCAAAGAATAAAAACAACAATAATAATGTTAGTTTATCGGTACTTTGACGCCTTCGTTATTTAATCGTCTCAAATCGTTTTATGTGAAATCTACAAGTAAAGTAGTATTACAGTAGGTGCTGATATCATGTTAAAATAATTTCTAAATTTAAAAACAACCCTAATGTATAATAAAAATCATTAAAAAATCTGTATATAATACGGTATTTTCGATATTTTGCATCGATCCAGCTTAATAGTAGAAAGTTTTGTTGATGCACCCTAATATACGCATTATAAAACACAACTGTAAAAGACATTACGGCACATGGATATACAAACAATATACATAGTTCAAAATCAGCTTAGTGTTTCTTCTTCTTCTTCTGGGGTTGTATAACTGATCATCGGCTCATTCAGAACCCAGTGAAATGGTTTAATAAATATAAACATCATCTGAGACTAAATACATCTACTTTCCAACTTTAAAGTTAAAAGTTCCAAACCTATACTAATAACCGAAGGAAGACTCATACTCGTATAATTTTTTCTGGCGTTCGAAAAACGATCGTCAAATATCGTAAAATTTTGATGATGCCGGAGCATCTCAAAGTTTGGTGTATGTTTCTGGTTTACTCATCTTAAAGGTTTCAGTTAACCGCCTTTTCCGTACAAAGTTGACATATATGAACATTTTAAAAGAAACGCTCAAAAGCTTCAAAAGCACCTTCGGACCTAACAAACTCAACATCACTGCGTTGCGTTCTTATCGTCGACATTTTTAATACATATATCTGAATAGTCGAAATGAGGAGCAGCAGGAAGCGAAGCTACTGCTTTCCATCACCTTTCCGATCTTTAATTTTATGTTACACATAGTCTTAAATCTAGAAATACAAGTTTCTACAGACATATTTTCAATACCCTCTAGGCTCTAATGGTTTGATTTAGATTTACTCAAATATTTGTATTTCGTATGAAAAATTTAAAAAAATATATTTAACGAAATTTCTGTCCTTAATTTTACAGGTGCTGGCAATACACACTGGGGTTATGGCTCAGCATCCGCTTACTCACCCTACTTAGCTGGTAGCGGACTTTCATCCTGCACAACACCAACATCGGCTCAATTTAACAATCCGGCTTTGGGCTTCACCTGCTCCTCCAATGATCAGTCCAACAATCAGGACTTTACTGGCGGAACAAACCGGGATTGTGTGCCAAGTAAGTATGAAAAAAATGTAGTTCAAGTTCCGGCAAAGAGTCTTGGAAGTAAAGAGTGAAAAACTTCACCGAAATGGAGGCTGTAATGAATGTGTTAGGTGTGATAATGTTCTTAATATTAAATTATATTTCTTATCGATCTTTTCGACTGGATTCTAACATTTTAAATTCATCCTCTCTTCCTCCCCAGTGCTTCCCGACTCCACGGCCACCGATTTGGATCAGCATTTGAGCAATTTGGTTGGCTCCACCACCGGACAGATGACACATCACAGCCTACTCGGCTCCAGCGGTCAATCGGCGATCTCTTCGACTGTCAACGGCGGCGTCGGCTCAAATTCGATACTGGTGCCACGCTATCACCACACCAATACCAACAACGATTACAATGTACACTCCAGTCAGAATGGACCGCGCAGCTTGAGTGACTCCTCGCAGGCCGAATCGCCGGTACAAGAAGATCTACTCACCACGAATACGCCCAATTTGGGGGGCGGCGGTGCCGGCGCTGGCAGCGGCGGTGGTGGCGGTGCCAATGGTACGAATAACGGCACTGCCAATGGCAGCAGCGGCGCCGGCGCTGGCAGCGGTTCCAACTCATCCGCAGCGAATAACACGCTCGTCGGCGCCAATCAAAACTTTCCCGGACTGGTAAATCAGACACAAAACCCGGCACATTATGGCAGCGGCAGCGGTGCGGGCGTCGGTGTTGGTGTGGGCGTAGGTGGTGGCGGTGCAGGCAGCGCTGGTGCTGGTTGTAATGGTTCACTGTACCCCGTCTTGCCGGCTAGTCTGCTCTACTCACAACTCTACACGGCAGCCAATCAGACACATGGCTTTCACTCGCATGCGCTGACACCGACACACGCCTCACCGAACTCATCTGTGCACGGTGCCGAATTGCAAAGCGTTATGGATCATATCAATAATGTCGGTGTGGGCGTGGGTGTAGGCGTACGTCAGCAGCACAACATTATGACGGGCGGCGGCGTGACGCATCCCGGCGATTTGACGCTGATCGGCAACTGTGGCGCCTCGGTGCGTAATATTGAAGATGGCAGCAATACGCAGCGTCAGGTGGCTGCCTTGGCGGCACATCGCGGACACCACACACCCACCGATAATGGGGGTAGCGTGTGGCGGCCATATTGAGGTCAGGTGCTCTGGTGCGGCTCGGCCGTCCTATAGTGTTACGAGAACCTGGAGAGCGAGCGTGAGAACGCCGGCGGCACCAGTGAACCGACAAAATATTGGTATGGCTGAGGGGCGAGTGTGGTGAGTTATTACTTGGTGTGCTGTATTGAGGAGTGAACGAGAGCTAGCGCAGCTTGCCACTCAAGATTTGTGTATATTCTTATGTAAATAACTTATTGGCCGACTTGAAGGTGAGCAAGTAACTTTTAAATGTGACTTTGTAAACATTTTAATGCGTAAAGCAGAAAGAGAAAACTAGTCGAATTTGTTTTAAAATATTAGCATTAGCGATAAATAGTCAAGTTGTTTTCTTTTAAGTATTATTTAATTCATATTAAAGTCTACACTTAATAAACTGTATTCGTAAGTCTCTAAGAGTCCTTAGCAAATTACACAAACAAAAAAAAAATATATATAAACTATATGTATAAATGCGTATATACATGCATATATGGCATCTGGATCAACTAATGCATATGAAAATAAATAAGAATAAATAAATCTTCTTAAAATAACTAATTTATGGTAGTTAAGTATTGCAAAATGTTATACGATTACAAAAGCAAAAAAATTAAACAAAATAAAAATAAATAATTGTATTAATAAGTCCGCTATATTTATGTATGTACTAAAACACATATGCATGTTTGTATGTATGTAAGTGTTAAGTGTATCACCATCCACAGCAGAGCATAAATAAGTTCCTAAACCCGCTAATCATAACATTACCCATTTCATTGCTGCGTTTTACCACACTGAAACAAATATTTTTCTTTAAACATCGTTAAATGTGCAATATAGCTTTTATTTAAAGAACAATCAATATTATTTTATAAATGTGTAATTATAATAATAGTAAGTATTTTACTTATTGAAGTAAACATAATCCAAATTTTATTGTAACAATTTTTAATATATTTTTCTTTTAATATTGAATTTATTTATCAAACATTTTTCATTAAAACTTGAATTTTTCGAATTTTAGGAAATAAAAACAAAAATTATGAAAATTTAGAAGTATTTTTTTTTATATAAAAAAATTTAGAATTTTTATTTAAATTTTTTTTGTTTAATTAATCAATAATTTGCATTAAAAAGTTTGAATTGTTAAAAATTTATAAAAAAAAGGCGGTTTTTTCAAATAAATTTTTACACACAGTTTTTTTAATAAAAAAAAGTTTAGAATTTTTATTTATTATTATAACTAAATTAAACATTTATTTGCAATAAAAAGTTTGAATTTAAAAATATATAAATAAACGTGAAAATTTTAATTTATTTATTTAAAAAATAATTTTTTGTTTATAATAATGTTTTTATTAATAATAAACGAAACCGTAAACACATACAATATCTTTCAAGTGAAGAACGACTATTTCATTTTTAACTGTTTTAATTTAAACAGGTAAGGAAGTGTTAAGTTTAAACCGGCAAAGAGATACTTTCACGATTTGAAACAATTAGAAATGGGTTGAAGATCTTGTGAGGCAACATTTTTTAAGCAATTTTAATCACTAAAGCGATATTCGTTATGAGCCCAACCTGTGAGCCGATTGCGCTTATTTTCAGTGCTAAAACACCTCATTCTACAGTTGACACCTAAATGTATTTAAAAACAGTAAGATATCTGGTTTGATATCTACACTATCCACAAGCGCTCAACAGCTCTAATGGAGATCAGTGATCTATATTAACTGATTTCATCGATGGGGGTAAATTATTTACCGAATTTTCTTAACAGCTCTATGAGGGCTATGAGAAAATATGGTTCGAGCTCATTAATTTTTGTAATAGTAATGATATTATGCTCAAGAAGACTCTCTCCGCCAGTTTCACTAAGATTTCTTACATACTAACCGATATAAATTTATATACTAGATCGGAGGCACATATATTAGGTCAATGGTATAAGAAAGAATAGAAAAGTATAAAAATTTCAATAAAATTTCAAAGGAAATCAAAATATAACAAAAGTCATTTGTAGCAAGTTCCTTTTAGATACCCTAATTATTACCATTTTTAATTTTTTTAAATTAAAAAAAATGATGGGATTAAAATGGCGTTATACGGGAGGTGCTTGTACGATTTTCCATTTTTTAATCGCTGAATAAAGGTTATTTCAAACATATTATTATACAAAGTTAATTCCTTCAGGTTACGTAAATGATCTGTAAGGCATAAAATTTCAACCAAATGTGCCACGCCCATTTCGAAATTTTTAAACTGGTTCATATGTACGAACTATTTTCCATACTCATCATCAAATGTTGCGCTAATGACTTTTTTGAAGAAAAATATTAAACTTATTTAAAAGCCAGACCACGCCCACTTTTCCAAAATTATAAAACCACATATGACCTCGCCAGTGACCCACTGTTTCGCATTTCAATTGACTATATATTTTACCCTTTCGAAAGAAGCAGTAAGAAGTGTATCAGGTTTCATCAATATATCTCGATATTTGCTCAAGTTATAGGTTGAACGGCCGAATCGACGAACGAATAGAGAAATCTATTCACTTCTTCGTTTTGATCACTTTGATATAACAACCTGAAATTACTATCGAATATTGTACGGTGTTGCTAGATTATAACAATTGCTTTATATTTAAAATAAATAATGCTTTTTTAATATTTATAATCCAAAAAAAATGTTTTACTTAATTTGCTTTAATCATATTATTTTTAACAAAAACACCCAAAAAATATTTTATGTATATTGGTTTAGACCCAAAATCCATAAAAATTTGCAACCAATCAACTTCATGTGTGTGCGCCTAACAAAATACTAGCGAAATAACTGTAATAAAACATTCACTCATACAAGTCTATGATCTAAGTATATATGTATGGTATATGAAATTGTATGGCAGTCATGCCTTAAACTAGTAGCAAAATTTTAAATGTAAATAACGTTTAAGTCTAATTAAAACTACCACACACGCACACATACACATCTAAGCACATTTATATGTATGTGTGCGTGAAAAACGCAAAATCGTCATGTTTAGAATTTCATATAGGAATTGTAGAAAGAAACAATTACAGCCGAGAACATATAAATATACACACACATATATATGTATACATATGTACATACATACTCGTATGCATGTATTGTCGAATTTCTGTCCAACTAAAAACGGTTTGTGGCGTGAAGTTTCTTTATAGTAAAGAAATCGACTTGTAGTCTCATACATTTGTAATTCTAACGGCATTTGTAGATGTGTACCCGCATTCATGTTTAGCAAGGAGATGAGAAAGCAAATATACATATATGAAGTGTCTAACGATTTTAAAGAACCTACTTATAAAATAAATTAATGAAAACCAAAAACAATTCGCCATGATAACTCTGAATAATTACATTGTGCAAATAAAAATGAAATTATAAATAGAAATAAATTAGTTAAGTGTTTTATTTCATTTCTTAAATATTATTAATATAGCCACATTTCCAATATAGTGATACGAATGTGAATCCCTTCTGCTGTTGCAAAGTGATTATCTTTGAGAGACACACTAATATATAGATTATTTTGCTCGCTACTGTCAACTTTCAATTCAATACACTATTTCTGCCACAAACACGCTCTTTCTATCCCTGTGTCTGTAATGTGTCTCATTCTTCTGAGATTATTAAAAGATAAGGGTATACATTAAGGCCCCGCTCTATAGCTATCATTATCTACGAACAAGTTTAAGCAACATCAATTAAACTCGTGATGTTTCTGTTGGAAGTTGGACGAGATCGAGTGCGATGAAGTGTTTGTTATATCAGATTCTATATCGACAGCAGACTGCTCCACTCTTAATCTTCTATTGTACAATAATAGACAAAACTCGAAGAGAATTGTCATAAATAAAAATAATGTGCTTAATCACGACCTTCCTGTTGTACTTGAGACTATATTATCATACAGTTGTTTTTTTCTTTCTTCATGTTAACAAAAACTCATTAAGCAAAGCATTATTCCAATTCGTCTTTGAGAACTTCTACATTGCTGTCATCGCATAACCTATATAGACTCTCATTTTCCCATAAGCCGTATTTTCCGCTGATCACACGCAAGTCAAAGTGTTAATTAACCGAAGAGAGCGAAGAACCAAACTGTGACCTATATATATTAATAAAAAAAACAGATTTGTCCGGCCCTATTAAATCTTTAGTGGCTACTGCTGAGATAAAACCTTTGGTCGGTTTTGAATTCGTGTCCGAAACGAACAAAGAACCAGTTCCAATTGTATTTTCATCTTAACCGATCAATCGAATTTCTGTGATAGAGATAATGATGGACCTAGCTTTAATGTAACGATTAACCGGATGGGTAAGGAGTCTTAAATTTCAAGTAACGAAACGTTTTCGCAACTTAGCTTCAAGGCAGGTACTTTAAGTCTTTACTGTGCACTAAGTGGAAGTGGCTTAGCCAGATTCTAATGAAGCTTTTTACTGTAATCGTATTTTTATACACGAAGAAACTGTCTACCTAGGGTTTAGTGGACTCAAAGTGACTATATCTATTTTAAACTAAAGTCTCTATTAGTGATGTTCTAACGGCCTACACAGTTTGGTTACTGGAACTCGAGAAAGTGTTGCTCCTATTGATCCGATCCGAGAACGTGGATACCCTTAAACTGTTGTAGATTTATTAATTTTACTGTAGGATATTGAGTTGGAGAACCAACTGAGTTCAACCTAAAAGCTTTGTAAGCTTTTTCTGCTGTTAGTATTCAGCAATTGACGAGACCACAACTAAATTAAAAAATTGTAACCGAAATCGAAGATTTAAAACTAGCTGGAAACAAAGTAATAACTTGCCAAACAAAAACATTGGACTTTGACTGAAAAAAAGCAGCCATTTTAATTGCGTTCTTTAATGAAGCGAACCGATGAAAAGACAATCAATGCAACAACAACAGAACATAACATACAAATGCATTAAAAAGGGAAGCACCGTAAATCTGAAGAAGACTAGAGCAAAACTGTAAAAGTGGAGTTCCAGCAAAACCAAATCAAGGGAAGAAAATGCATATGGACCATACATCGATATAACACACTATACATATCTGGTATATAAGATATATTTTCATACACATAAATATATTACTTACAGATATTAGACATAGAGAAATTTGGTGCGCTCGAAAGAAGTATGGCAAGAAGTCCATACAGAAAGCACCAAAGTTCATCTATGCGATATCGATTGCACAATCGAACATACATATGTACAATTGTGTTTGTGTGCGTAACTGCCAGTATATGTATCTAGTAAAGCGCAACGTACAAAGTA